TGTTATGAAAATAGCACAGACTGACAGCTGTGGAAGCAGATTATTACATGTAATTTTTTACCACATCATTCTCTCCAGGCACATCTGTCTCATAAATTCAAGGAAATTTGGAGGATGACTCCCTGTGCCCCACAGCCATCATGATGCATTCTGTCCTGGTTACACACAGCAGCATTTTGCTGTTGAATCCTGCTCTACCATAAATTAATCACAGAATCCCAAACTGATTTATGTTGGGAGGGTCAGGGACAGCTTCCCTTAGCCCAAGTTGTTCCAAGCTGTGTCCAACCTGGCCTTGGACCCTTCCAGGGATGGGGCACCCTGTGCCAGGTCCTCCCCACCCTCACTGTGTTTTCCTGATTCCCTATTTCAGCTGATTGTCCTGCTACATCAGGAATGTGATTTAAATTCATACTGACCAGTCCAGTGTATTTAACATCGAATTTTTGCTTTTCTAAATAACTATTACAGCCTCTATGGGGCCAGCTTGAATTACTGAAATTGCTGTTCTGTAACTTGTTACCATTTTAACCAATCTTTGCATCATGGCGATCAAAATACAAGGTGCAAAGTTCTCACCGTGGGACTGGGATGGCAGCACTTTATGGAAAGGGGTTGGAAATGTTGCAGCTTTTAGTGCAGCTGCATGGGGGTGAAGCTCTGGCAGGTGATGATCGTTATGCAATTGTACTGGCAGGAGCAATTAGAGATTTACAAGTGCTTGTAAATGCTGCTATTTATAGGATGGACACTTTATTTAACAAAATGCTAATCTTTTCTGCAGTGGGAGGAAATGTCAGAGTGGAGTCTTTCATCCTTGGGTTGGGACTGGACTGGAATGTCCAAAAGAGCAGCACTTAGTTCTTTTTGTACAAGAGAGCTAGAGGTTTCCAAAAGACTTGAACATGGGAAATGGAGGAAGGATATTTTGAATTTTGCAATACTTTGGAATTCTAATATCAGTGGTCTGTGGGGCTTTGCAGATCTATCTGGCTTGTGAGATTTGGAATATGTAGTTTTAATTCTCAGCCTTCTAGTTTTCATTATTGAGAAGCAGAACTGAGTTACTGTGAATCTGGGAAAATATAATTTAAATGCATTTTATTAGCTGTTTTAATTTGTGAATAAACTTAGCTAGGCAAATTAAAAACCAGAGCCATTATGAAAGTATTTTTGATAATCTCTTCCTTTAAGAGACCCTGAATGTCCTCTTAAATACTAGGGATGGATCCCACTGCAGTGAATAATAACCTGAATCAGGCTTAAACCCAAAAATAGAAAAAGCCTGCTTTTTACTGAATTAGTTTCATGATCTACTTGGTTATGAAAGTTTCAGAATAAGGTTTTTTGTGTTATTTTTGTTGCACTGTAGTAAGTTATATTCTTGTCATCACTCACACTCGTACGTGCACAGTAAGTGATAGGATCTGCTCTGTTAATTCTTATTTAATCCAATCAGCACCTCTCCAAGTGCAGGAAGCAGCAGAAGGAGGATTTCTATGGAGAACAGACAGGGATTGCTGCAGACTGACCCCAGGGCTCGGTCAGTGAGGACAGGAAGGAGAAAGGAGAGAAGAAAAATGTTTGTAAAGACTGAATCATTTTAGACAGCGGGGTAACTTTTGTAGGAGAGATGAAGTAAACCTTGGTTTATGGTCATTGCTCCCAGTAGCTCCTGTGGCTTGGGGAATGCACAGAATCATGGAATCCCAGACTGGTTTGGGGTGGAAGTCTTTAGAGATCATCCAGTCCCAACCTCCCAGTCCTGGACAAAGCCATGTCTTCAGGAGCTGCTAATATATGTTATTATACAAAATTCTTTGTGTATCTACAATAAGGGAGTAATTTTTTTATACTGGAAGCAGATTTGCTGATAAAGTTGTATATAAAGAAGAAAAACTTCATGTTTATTAGGTAATTTTCTATGGAGTATTTTTAGTGGGTATGTGCTGCTGGAGCCAGGCTTTCTGCTTGATCTCCATGTCATAAACATATTTGGTTTTGTTTTTTGTTTGTTTGGGTTTTTTAATAGCAGAGACATTTTCTTAGTGGAATTTTTATGCTTTCCACCCTTAGAGAAGACAGATGGACTTGTTTATCTGCTGCGAGGTTCAGGGCCAGATTATAGATAATTTTGCTTTGTGTCATTTAAAACATTCTTGTTTCTGAGCGAGGAAGTTGGCAACAGTCACGTGATTCATGGTGGAAAAATTATCTGCAGGCTGTTGCTGTTGCCTTAATAGGCTTAAAGGAATTAGCAGTGATGTAAATAATAGTTGTGTGTGTGTGGTGGGTGGGCAAGTGCCAAAGCGAGGGCGTGTTTGGGGTGAAGCCCTTCCCAAATGATCTTCTGCAAAAATAACCTTGTGAAGTGAATAATCCAATTTTGATTTCTTACAGAGAAATTGTTGACAATTTTTGTCATGATTTTTAATTGAAAATGCAGGCAACGCCTGAGGGCATTAAGATTTGAAGGGACCTGGAGCGGTGTTTGCATTTTGCATCTCTGTGACACCCTGTGGTGGCTCAGCTTGGCCCAGGAAAAATAATAAAACAATCCCAGTCACAGGTGTTTGGAAGCTGAGGAAGAGGAGCAGCAGGGAAGAGCCAGGCATGCCAGCCTTTCTGATAAAAGCAGGAGAATTTCAAGAGACACTTGAGTGCCATTTATAATTTCATTTGTGTGCTGAATGTGCCTGCCACAGCCAAGGGGAGTGTGGGCACTGCTTGGGAGGCACGGAGAGAAACAGTGCCCAGAAATGGGGATAAAGTGCCCAAAAATGGGGACAAGGTGCCCAAAAATGGGGACAAGGTGGCTTTGAGATTCTGCCACACAGGATGGTAACATGCAGGAGCAGCATGGGCAGCTCGACTGAGGTCAGGGAGGCAATGACATGATGTAGCTGATGGTGAGGGATTTACAACTGTAGTAGTACGATTACAGTAGAATTACTAAATATTAATAGCATCTGAAATCCTCCTGCAGTACAATTTACAGTTGATCTTTATAAATTGCCCCAAATTTTGTACGTTGCCAACTGGACTAGAGGTATTTTATTATGAAAGAAGCAGGTTTATCTAAAACAAGATATGTTTCAAAACTGAGACACAGTGTCTAGTGTATATTACACTTGGCATTGATGGCATGATTCCTCTTTATCAAGTGTAACTGTATCAAGGAGTTTTATCATTTTCAAAATTGAGTGATTATTTTATCCACTAAATTTTTGTTATTTTTCCAACACTTGTCTGTTTGGTGCTACGTATTTGTTGTAGGGTATCTGAATTTAAAACATGAAAACTGACTTGGGTAGATTATATAGGGGAAAATGGGAGTCCTGTAAAGCTAGAGTGCAATGAAACTGAGGAAGGGGTAAGTTTTGTGTTAGGAATATTTGCTGGAGAAGCAAGTTGTACTCTGTTACCAGGGATTAGGTCCCACATTGTAAATTCACTGCCCTGCGTTCCACTGAGGATCAAGTTTTAGTCCATTTAAGAAGCTCTGTGCCCCCTTCTTCTTTTCCAGAGAAACAGGGACTACAGAATGATAGGAGAGAATTTATTCTCAGCTACTGCAAGACCGATGCTATTTTCACAGCTGAATTTTTCCCTTTGCAATGTTGCCTGTGAGCTTCAGCCTCATTCCAGCAAGTTTCCTTTTACAGCACCTCCCAAACCTTTGCATCCTTGGAATGTGAGAGCATTTTAATCGGATTTTGGTGGCGTTTCTTAGAGCAAGGAGTGGGAGAGAGGGAGGAAGATTTCATGGAGATCTGTGAGATGGTGGAAGGGGCAGCTTGATGTGGATAAGCTGATTGGGTTAGTGGCTATTTTGGAAGGAGAGGTCGTGGACTGGGGAGGAGGGGGATGGCATCAGGGATAAGTGGTTGAGACAGAACTCCAAGTGGATTGGAAGATGAAAGGGAACGGACAAGGTGAGTGGAGTTCATTCTCCTGCCTGAGAGAGGGAGCACAAGCAGGGACAAAAATAAATCCCTGCAACTTCAGTGCCAGTGTGGGCTAAGTCTGGTCAAGGGAAGCTGAAGGTGAAATAACCACTTCTCCAGACTGCAGACTCAGGAAAGCAAGATCCTGAAAATCCTGGTTGTTTTTTTTTTTTTTAATAATCACAAGCATGAAGCTCTGTATTCCACAGAATCTACAAATAAGTTTATTTGCATGGTAAATTCACACAAATATAGGCTCCAGTGAGAGGAGTCCAAAACTGCCCCTTCAAAGGCTGCCCAGAAGAGACAAGAGGGTGGCAACACACATTTGGGCCCCTGGTTATGAAGTACAGTGTGAGTTTTCTAAAAATGAAGAGTATGACAGCTTTTGAAGGAAAAAAAAAATCTAACCTTACATAGCTGCCTGCATCTGCTACGAGTTTAAATATACTTCTGTTAGGAAGGATTCAGGTTACTTCTTGTAGCTGAAATTCTAATTACTGCTGGTTTTCCCACTTCTCTGCAGTAAGAATATAATTAAAGCCAAAGCTGTTCTCCTGCCTTTGCTAGCGAGGTACAAAACTGCTTTGTCATGGTAAAAGTTCCATTTTGATGGAAAATCAGCCGTTTGCAGGTCAGCTGCTCAGGTAGCACTTCACAGACTGCTGCCCCAGAAAAGAGCTTTACAATAGAAAGTAAATTACAGTAATTGAGATTACAGTAATGCAAAGCTCTGTGTTTAACCAGTGATTGACAGCAGTTGAATATGCAAACAGTCTTACCTGAATGTGGTTTTAACAGCTCAGATTTGGTGTGTCTGTTGTGCTGAGTTATTCTCCCTTCACCTTTCAGTTACACCTTTAATCGGTAATTTCTTGTTGATTTTTTAATGGCTGTTTGAAAAACAAACATTCTTCTGCTTTTTACAGTTGCACGAGGTCACTTTTGCTTGGGAACCAGCTTTTTCTCCTTAGAATGCTCTGGATTTTTGTCCCACCTGGCATTGTCTGGGTATGTGCCACACCTGAATTGGATTATTTTGTTTACTTGCAGGTGAGGTCTGGGCAGTGTCTCTGGAGTGATCACATTTCCCTGTCCTTAATGTGCCCTTGGTGACCAAGTTTTTGTTGTCACTATGAGAAAGAATTCAGGCCCTATGGATTGGTTGCAGCAGGAAATTATGGTAAGTGGGAGCGTGGAAATTTGTAGGATATGTTTATTTCCATTGTATTTGGTTGTTGGGCCAAGTCAGTAAATAATGGTGTTTCTTGCTTTTTAGAGAAGGAACACTATGTCTTTCAGTGTGATAAACTCTGTGATCAGCATATCTGAAAGGCACCTTAATCTGAGTTTGCTTCCTTGTGAATTTATGTGAGAATGATGTTATTTGATGTTCATGCTGACTCTACATCAATACTTGCATTTTTCTCCTTTTTTTTTTTTTTTGCAGATTCTTTTTCCTTGCTGGTGTTTTTCACTTCTGTTGAATGTGTAATTCCAACTATGGCAACAAGAGTAGAAATAAATTCTACTTTGGCGTCTTTGACGGCGGTCCCTGACCTAGCTGAGCTCAGGGCTGAGGAGAAGGCACAGCGTGTGTATGTCAGTGTGCTTTCAGATGCCAGCAACAAGGCAAAGGAGGCCTCAGCATCCCTGACTCTGGAAGAGAACAAGAAATTTGGCAATTCCTTGAGATCTGCAACCATGCCCTCGCTGGGATCAAGGCCCAGACTTTTCCCAAAGCCTTTTTGTAAAGAGAAATCCTCGGATACTTTTGCAAACGTCAAACCGCCCGTCCCAGCGTTCAGATCCAGCAGCATGGTGAGGAAGGCCACTGAGGAAACGTCCTCTGTGAAGGTGTTGAGTGGGAATGTCCCTCCCTTAGTGGACCAGAAAGCCATTGACACTGAAAATCCGGCTGGCAGTGACATGGTGACAAATGTGACTTTCTACACAGGGCCCAGTGCCAACACAGTCATTCTGTTTGAGCCAGGGGGCCCCGAGCAGACCAAGGTGCAGGAGAAAAGGGCTCAGGAGCGCAGGGGATTCACTGCTCTGCAAAGCAAGGACCTGCAGAGCTCTGTGAAACCAGCAGAGCCTCCCAGGAATCCTGATGGAGCTCTCCATAGGCACATGTCATTTTCCTCCAGTCTCAGACCTGAATCCTGGAACTCCTTGAAAACCAGTGAAAAGAAAGATGCTCGTGAAGTTCATCCAGGGGAGAAGAACAATGATGATGCAAATAAGCTCAACAATAAAGTTGATTTTTCTGTGGATGTCCAGCAAAGGGCAAAGCATAGACCAGTGTCTGCTATTTTTCTGGAATCATTACGAGATCAAAAGCATCACACTGTGGAAACTTCTGAGGAAAAATCTCCTACAGAGAAATCTGGAGTTAGAAAACCAAGGCCTTTGTCCATGGACCTGACAGCTAAATTTGAACATAAAGATCTTTCTTCTTGCAAAAAGGCTGGTTCATCCCATGAAAGCAAGGAGAATGTATCCGTAATTGCTTTTACTGATGTGGGTAGTCATGATCAGTCTGAAACGGGGCCAAAACACGAAGAAACTGAATTGAATAAAAGCAGTTCTTCTAAAACAAATCTGAAATGCAGTAGTCAGGACATTGGCATCCTGAATAATGGGAAATACACATGGGAAACTAAACTTAAATCGAAAAGTGAACAAATTGAGACAAAACCAGAAATAATTATTAACTTGCATGGTCCTGAAAGAAGCCCTGAAACAACCAGTGAAAACAGAACTAATAAAGGGGGGAAAAGAGCAGATCAGAAGGAAACATACACGTTCGTGGGCTGTGAGAGTCCTGCAGCTTCCTCAGAAAAAGAGAATAATATATTAAGAGGTAGTGTTAAAAAACACATTAGTTTGTTTACTTCAGAAAATCCCAGTGCCACAGTGGATCCAGAGCTTCTCCCAGAGAAGGAGAACAGGTGTGTGACCATCCAGCAGAGGATCAAGGAGCTGACAACAGAAAATCCTGAGGTTAAGGGAGGAAATCTGCGCCGCTCGCTGCAGTCACGGCCGCTCTCTGCAGACTTAACCAAGATGTAGGTTACAGAGAAATTCTCTTTAATCCTCTTGGCTTCTTGTTGTTCAGTAAAACTTGCTCTTTTAGTCCAGTAAAAAAACCTTGATCATTTTGTTTCCACTTAATGTGATTTTTAAAGTATTATTCTTAAGCTCCTTTCCTGCCTTTTTTAATCCGAAAAAGAGAAAATTAAATATATTCTGACAACAGCTGAAAAAAAAAGAAGCTGTCAATACTGTGACCTTTGCATGTAAGTGTAGCTGTCAATGAGAGATATTCTAGCTTGTTATGCATATCTAAATCCTCTATTATCAATTGATTATCCTCTATTATAAATCCTCTATTATCAATTAAGATGCTTAATTAACAGTACTATTTATATTAACAATAATTAATATTGTTGTATTAATAGTAATAATTAATATATTAATATTTTGAGAATTCTTGTGCTCTAGATACAATTTAACCACCAAATACAGTAATTTACTATAAAATAGTGATACTTCTCTTTTAGGAAATGTAATTTGATGGATAATTTCTACCAGCCTGCTTTGGTAGGAAGCCACCCTGCTCATTGACCAACACCAATCCTTTGTTTTAGGTTTTCAAGTCCAACATCAGGGGGTGAATCAAAGCCTGAGAAACCTGGGGAGGCTGGAGCTGACTCGATCCATGACCTGCAGGAAAATCCAAAAGTAAGGAACTGGCAGCAGCTGGCTCTGCAAGGTCCTGTTGTGTGTGGCTTTATCAACCAGTGGCTTTTTAATGGGTATGGGGATTATTAGGGCTGACACAACCCCAGTGGATTTGCTGGTGTGAGTTTGTCTTTAGGATGTGCAGAGAAAAGTTCAGGAGTGTTGTGTCAGTTGAGTTTGTGCAGCTCTGTGTGCACACTGCTCAGTTTTGGAGTTGTAGAGAGGGAAGAATATTTTGTGCTCTGTTTTTAAGGGATTTCTGATCCATGAAACCCCAGTGAACTGCCTGTGGCTGTGGTGGGTTTGTGCTACAGTGATTATTCTTTATTTTCTCCAAGCAGAGCATTAAGATTGTGCTTTCCTGCATTCATTTCCCAGCTCCTGATAAATCCCAGCCTGGACCTTGGTCAGGCTCCTCAACAACATTTACCTGAGCAGTTTAGACAATAAAGTGTTCCAGGGAAAATGGGAATTTGCTGTGGAAGCTTTGGGCTCTCTCTGTTTCTAAGCAACACTTCAGTGTTGCAAAACAGAATTTCTCTGGTGACAGTTCTTGGTAGAGGAGATTTAATGTAGTTTGAGGGTATTTGTAATGAGTTCTTATGGCTTTTTTCCTGTCCAAGATAGGAATACGTGGTAAGGAAAAGCTACAGGTGCAAAGTTTCTGTAGTTTAGTGTTATTTTCAAGGAGAGCAATTTGTTTTAAAAGGAAAATCTTTCATTAATGGAAGTGCTGTTTTCAAAATATGACAGTAAAGTAGGATTAAAGAAATTCCCTGAAGAATATAGTTCAGACTTTAAAATCTTCATTTATAAATACATTTAATGTTAATTTTCTGATGTTATTTAGTTTTTGTTTTTAAGACAATCTTAACTCAACTCTTGAGGGAGTTTAAATTTTAAGACTTGAATAAAAGATTGAACTCCTGTAAGACCTCTAGTGTTCTGGTTCCCTTTATTATTTACATGCTGTGCTTTTTCAGCAAGTGCTATTAAAAATACCATCCTTTAGGATGTTGTTTGTATTTCCTGTGAGTAGATAATAGTGAAGGATTGGTAATAAATATTAATTTCCATCTTTCCTTTTTTGCTTTGGCTCATCTTAACATTTCTCATAGATGAGCATCTCCAGCTGTGATATTTACGCAGATCTTCATGTTCCTTGCAGTTTGACCATGTTGCTGGTTATTAGTGAGATAATTCTGTTAAAATCAAGATTCAGGAGCTGGAGCTACACGTTGCCTTAGGGTTACCTTGGTCTCAGTGGAGTTTGTGTTCAGAGAATGTGGATATGTTGACTTGTGCAAGCTCTGTTGCACAAAGTAGGTGCAAGTAAGTTTTAAAATAAATGTTATTTTTAAAATAAACTGAAGATAACTGTTGGATTTTGTTGTTCCAGAGCAAGGAGCTGAAGCTCAGCCATGGCACAGATGTCACCGAGGCGTTTGCTCCTGGGAAGCCTTGGAAATCCCGTCAGGTTTTAAAGATAACCAATAAACCTGATCAGCTGGAGAGGAAAGGGAGCTTCCTGGGAGATGGTCAGCATTTCTCACAGCAGACTGAGAGTACTGTCTCATTCACAAGCAGCTTTGAAAAGAAATTAAATCCAGCTCTTCTGGAAAAGCCCTTCATTAAAACTGTCAGGGCCACCCTGTTTGAGCACAATGTGCAGAAGCACAGCGTTGTGGCTGAGCATTCTGGGGCTGATCCTGCACCAAAAAGGAACCAAGAACCTGAGGCAAAGCAGGACCTGGGGCTTTCAGGGCACAGCAGACGCTCGTGGATGGGAGAAGGGGAGGAAAGCACCACTGCAAAGGAGCATCACAAGCAGCCTGATCCATCAAAACATCCAGCACATGTCGAGAAAAGTCCAAAACCAGCTTCTTCAAGTGAAGACAAGAAAATGAATCCAGGAATTGTCTTAGAAAAATCTTTGGTTGAGAAGAGTGAAAAACCTGCTCCCAAAATTACAGAAGATTCTCAAATTTACCAAAGAATAGAGCCCAGGTATGAAATCTTTCAGACTTGTGGTGAAAGGGCTCTTAGTGAAGCCATCACAATGGCTCCTGAGAAAAAGGCCATGACACTCAGAACTAGAAAGTCATCTGTGAAAGAGAATAAAACAGATGAGGACGTTGTACCTACAGGGCAGTCTGTTAAGACAAGTAGTCACACTCTTTACTTGAAAGAAGATAATGTTACTTCAGAAGCCAGAGAGGCAAAAGTTCTCACAAGCAAGGTTGTGTTGAGAGAACCTGCTGGTTTTCTCTCCAGTGAATGCACTTTACCTGAACAGAAAAGAGACTCTGATAAAACTGATCCTGAGCCACTGTTCATAGCTGAGAAAACACCTTATTCCACAAACAAAAGTAAAGGTTTGGGAATGAGTGAGAAAGTCGGCAAGCTACATGCTGAAATTAAAGGCGATAAGAGTGAAGTGTCTTCTGTAGGTAAATCAGAGAGGATTAATGTTGTGAAATGCTCTTCTGAGAAAAGGAGTTTCAGGGCAGGTGGGACAGACATCCATGAATTCCGAACCAACTTGGATCGTGATGTGACTTCCACAAGTGTCAATAAACATGGGGCTCAGGCTTCAGTGCTGGCAAGTGGGCAATATTTTAAATCTTCCAGTAGCCACCCCCCTGATACAAAAGGACTGAATGTTACTAAAGAGGATTCTGGGCCCTTTGGGTTGAGGAAAAGTCTGGACTTCAACTGCAAAGAGCAAGACTTCAACTTGGCTTGTACAGCTCCTGAAAACAACGAGAAACTCCGAGGAGCAGATCCAGAAGAGAAAGTCAGGAGAAGCAGAAGTAGCGTTTCTGACTTGAAGATTTCTGAAAGATGGAGGAGGAGGACCTTGCCTCAGGAGTCACTCAAGGTGGAAGAAGTTGTGTGGCTCAATCCTGAAAATATCAAGAAGCTGAGCCGGACAGATTCATTGCAATTGAATGAAAATTTATTGAAAAAGAGAAGCAAAAATATCAAAGATGGGGTGGAGGGGAGTGAGGCTAACCAAGCTGTTCTTGGCACTCCTGATGATTACACAAAACATCAGAGTTCTGTCTTTGAGCCAAAGGCAACTTATTTTGCAGTGACTTATCAGATTCCTGGTATCAAAAAAGAGAAAAGCTTTGTTGGTGCTCCCAGTGCAAGTGAAATTAATACGGTTTCTGGTTCAAACGAGGCAGCAGCAATTAATCTGGACCCTGTTTTTCCTGGAAGGTCCAAACCTTTATTGCAGCAACCAAATAAAAATGTGACAAGTTCAACTTGTAGAGAAGACTCCTGGGAAGCACGTATTAGCAAGGATTGGGTCAAAGAAGATGAAAAAGATGCCGTTTTCTCCAAAAATGTTGCATTTGGTAATTTTCATGTGTCTAGGAAAGATAACCAACAGCATCACGAAAAAGGTCTGGATCATTCTAAAGAGAAAATTATAGATGTTGATGCTTTGCTGTTAAAACCGGATCAACAGGCTGATCTCAAGAGTGGCAGAAGGAAAATCTCCTCTTACCACGAGCCCCGGTCCCCGCCACGTTCTGCACAGGTGTGTAAGGACAGTGAGCTGGGCCACCAGAAAAGGAGTGACAATAATTCTGATCTGCCTGGAAGGAAGGCTGAGGATGGGTACAGATCCCAAATTCTCGATATTGACGCACTTATGGCAGAATATAAAGAAGAATCAGCAAAGGCCAGTAAAGTTCAGGAGAAGTTTTCTGAAGATCTCGGCTCACTGAGTTGGGAGAGATCAAAGAACAAAAGAAATGTGTCGGAGAGAATGACTCTTACCTACAGCTGGAACGAGTGGAAGAGTGGATCAGACCACTATTCAGTTAATAACAAACCAGGTGAACGTGTAGAAGAGCAGCACAGGCCGGAGAAACTAATCCTAAATGAGAAGAGCAAAGAGAAACTGGAACTGCAGAGCCCTGAATTTGATAAGCAGAAGTCCAAAGACAGAAAGGTCAGCCCTCCTTACTGGGGAAACCCCAGCAGCATTTTCCCAGAGAAGTTTGTAAATTCACCTGTGGAATTTGCTAGGAAGAAAACTTTCATTGTTGATGAGGATGAGGAAGTGACCTTGACCTCCAGAAACCAGGGTGCAAAATTTGTAATTGAAAAGGTACAGCCCATAAATGTAGTGAGTACAGAGCAGAGGCTGGAAGTCAATCTGGCCTCCAAGCTGTCCCTAAAGGCTGATGATGGGCTCTTGCAGAAGAAGTTGGTGACAAAAGAACAATTCATGGAGGTGTCTCCAGAGGGCGATTGGAGCAAAAACATCGTGAGGAGCTCTACACTGAGAAGCAAAGACAGCTCAAGTAAAATGTGTGAGGGTGACTCTTTTAAAAGTAGGGCAGATTGGAAGGGGTACATGTCTGGGTTTGGGACTGTCCCCGCGGATCTCAGACGATCCTACTCGGAGAAATGCCGCCAAGGGAGGGACAGCCTGCCCCTCATGCAGGATCTGAGGGCAAGGAAGGACCTGCATCGCTCCAGGCCAAGCTTCCCCTTGGAAAATGTGGATAACTCGTGGAAACACAAGGTGGCAGCTCAGTCAGAGCCATTCTTCCATGAGGATAAAAAGGTATTTTCAAATGGTAGCCAAGTGTGTCATGTAGCTGTAACTGAACTTTTCTTTATTAAGGCTTTTGTCGTGTCCTTGCAGCACTTCTCAGCACTGCAGCAAGGCAGCAGATCCAGACTTTTCACTGGAGTTCATTTCTTTTCGGGTTCTCTTTTCTTGAGTAATGGCAATTGCACTAGATGACCTCATTGCTTCAAGTCTAGAAATACTTATTGGTGTTTTTGTGGAGAGCTTGAAAAAGCTTTAAAAAGTGTGCTTATTAGTTTTGTAATGCTGTGAACCTGGGAGGTCAAATTGTTAACTGCAATTTTATATTTACTTGAAAAGAAGTAAGTTGTCAGCAGTGATCTTTTTGGACCTCTCTTTGTTTTTTGTCTTCATCTGAAGGAAGCAAATTTTATTTTTATTTTTACTGAGTGAATGGCCTCCATTTGTCTGTGAAACTCCACTGCTTTCCGGACTTTGGTGAGAGGCAAGAGATTCCCTTCACACAGTGACATGTGAATGAAATCCAGAGGTTGGATTTGGTTGGAAAAGACCTTAATGGTCCTATAATTTTATGATTAAAGTGTCGGATGTTCATGGCTATAATGTTTTTTCATTTTGTGTTTTCAGCTTTGAGTTTCCTCTGGTTTTGTTTTTTTTTTTCCCAAAAGGCATTTTATATATATATAATATATGTATGTGCATATGCATGTATACTTAATCACATTCATAACTGTGTTTTACAGGCTCCCTGGAAAGAGTGGAGCAAGCAGAGCTCAGAGAAAACAGAGGGAACAGACTTTTCCTCAGTGTCTGCACAGAGGAGCCACCACAGCTTCTACAAGGAGAGGAGATCAGATTTTGGTTTGGTATGTGACCCTGGATGAGGGCTTGGGGTGGATCAGGGAGCTGCAGCTCTGTTTTCCTTTTTGCAAAGGGCTGTGCTAGAAGGACGAGTCTGCCAAGGAGAGGAGCATTTGCTGGGGGTTGAACTGGTGAGGCTCCACTCCCTGGGATCCCACCCCAGTGCTCCCTGCCAGAGCTTCCAACACCAAACCTCAGCCTTGCAGCTTGTTCCGTTTGCTTTCTGAGTGAGGAATTTTCATCCTGAACTCAAGATGGCTCTAGAGCATTACAGTTTTTGTTGTTTTCTCAGCTTGTGCAGACAAATAGAACTGTGTGTCTGAGAAATGATGGGTTTAATTGTCTTTCTGTCAGCAGCACACAGAGAAGTGTTTCTGGGAAAGATCACAGCTGACATTTTGGGTGGTTTGATTTGTCTCTAACACACAAATTGTTGAGGTGAATTCCTGCTTGATATTGTTGGGTGCTGTTCTCCTCCGTCTCAGAAGAATATCCTGACTTTTAGCCCTCAGAGAAGTTTTATGTTGTGAAATAGCATCCTACATCCAGCTGTTGTTCTGAATTACGAAACAAAGGTCTGGATGTTCCAAAAGATGGGCAATTAATGAAATATCAACGTTTCCTGAGGGAAGTAAAGGATTTGGAAAGTGGAGACTGAAGGATGTGGTCCCAAGGTCACACCTCCCCTGTCCTGTCTCTGCCAGCACACTCTGCAGTCAGGTGCTGCTCTGCCCTATTCTGCCATGGCTCACTCTGCTCTTTGCCGCTCTTTAGCAGAGAACACACAAAGATAGAAAAGAAATTCAGTGGTTTCTTTCCTTCTGGCAAAGAAAAAGGGACCACCTAAACCTATAAGGATTTTATAAACAAATTTCTTAATTGGAGTTTTGAAAGTAGGCTCAGATTGTTCTTCAGTTCTGGTCTTTAGGCTTCATGGAAGGTATCCAAGGGCTGATGTCCCTTTTTCTTTCCCATTCTTAGCATGGTTCATCTTGGGGAATTTGGGTTATTGACAGAATGGGCATTTATCCAACCTCTAAAAGTAATGTGCTATCAGCTTATAGTGCAAATATATAAAGGTGGTGTTGGCCAGGTAGGAAAAGTGGGACAGAAGTAGTGCTGGGATAACTGAACTGTACTCAGATAAATACAGCTGTTGTTCTCCAACTTCATTGTTTATTGGGAGGTTACTCAGGATAATCCTTCAGCTTCACCAAATGTAGCCTGAGACAGGAAGGGAAGGTTGGAAAAGGAGATTCAGCTCCATGAAAAGAGAAAGCTGACCTGTGTGGAATTCAGGAGGATCCGAGTGCTTTGCTCCTTTGTGTTGCTTTGGAAAGGTTCCTCGGGCTGGGATTGTGCAGTGCTGGGGAGCCAAAGGGCAGCCTGCTCCTCCTGGGTGTAAAGTGTGAGTGAGTGCATGGAAGGGGCTTTGACTTGCATTTGGGAGGTGGAAAACACCACACTGATCTTTTCCAAAGCCTCACAGAGGTACTGCAGAGGATTATGTAAAACCAAACCGTTTTTTCTGCACCAAGGTTATGCCTTTGTTTCCCTTGGAGAAAACAAGAGATTTTGGGTGCGGAGCTGCGGTTCCCAGTTCTGTCAGCACGTTCCAACACTCCCCTCTGCTGGAGACACATCCGAGCTGTGTGAGCTGGACAGACACGAGGGGTCAGGAAAGAGCCACGGGAGCCACAGTTAAATCCCCTATTTCCCTAGAATCCCAACAGAGTCTGTATTTCCCTTGAAAGGGGGATTAGATGGAAATGTGGCATCCTGCTGCTGTTTGCTTTGAGCAGTTTCTCATCTGTGTAGTTGGGAAGTTACTTATTTTTCCTTGTGGCTTAGTGACAGAATATATTCTCCAGTCCATATTGCTGGTCAGTGAGGGTATACTGGTATTGGTCTGGTGAGACTGAGTGCTCAAAGTGACAAGTCTCGTTGTAGAATAAACAATTCTATTTGGTTCACATTCACCACTAAAGCAGTGAAGAACTGATATTGATAGCCTTTTATATTTGCCAAATGAGTTTGCAAGAATCAATTTGTTGCATTATTCCATATCTGTCTGTGATAGTAAACAGCTGTTTGAATAGCATTTTCCAGGACAGCTGATGAGCTAGGTTCTTATGGATAAACACAATTCCAAATGGAAGCAAGGTTCAGTAGTATAATTTACCTCTGGAGAGGTCATTTCTTTGTGATTATATTCCAGAGAATCTGCTTGTAATTAGGCTTTTAGAACATTACATAGGATGACTTTGAAATCAACCGTTGCAAAATACAAGTAGTAATATGGGATTGGTGTTTGAAATTGCACAGGATGACACTTTGGAGATTTAACACTCATCTAGACCACACTGTTCAGCTATTTTAAGTTTGTATTGATTAAAAAACAAAGGAAGGCTTTTATAAAGATTTTAGCATCACTGCTAGACTGTTGTCATCTGTGGTTTTACTATGGCTGTACTTCCCTCTCTTTTAGCCCTGCTGCAGCACAGAGTAGGTATAAAAATGAAGTTCTGTGCTTTGGACAGTGAGGGATTTCTCTCACTGGTTCAGCTGCAAGTCTCAGAGCCTGGGCCTTGTAGGGATCTGTTCCTTTCGACCTGGAATGCAGGTGAAGGGATGGGTGTGAGCCCTGAGCAATCAAACCCTCTCTGGGCTGGTACCTGTGGTTGGATGTGGGGCTGTTCCCTCTCCGTGCCCCACCTGCCCATCCAGGGGCAGCCACAGAGCTCAGGAGGTGTTTCCATAAATTGTGTGATGCCATCAGAGCTGACGTTCAGTCACAAGCCCGGATTCCTGATTGAGTCATCCAGGCTGATAACAGTGTTGGGAATGAAAACCTGAGGAATGTGTGCTGGGACTCATCCTCCAAATAAAGGAACTGCATTCGTGCTGTGGGGCTGGAGGAATTTACCTTCAGATGGAGATGGAGCAGCTTTAATGCTGCTTTGGGGAGTTAGAACAGAGCACTGCTACTAGAACTGGTGTAGGAGTTATTTTGAAGTCTCTCAACATATTATTTATTTATTTTATATTAAAGTCTGGGGTTTTTTGTCATTTAGGGAGGAAAATCTCCCTAATGGTCTCCATAGAAAGATGCATTTATATGAGACTGAGATGTGTGGGTGGAGAAGGATTTGTTGAAGAAAATCATGAGCTGACTCCTAAAATATCTTGGAAATGAAGTGCAAGGGAGAGAAGATAAATATTTTATAAACATGTGCAGATGAATTTATGGTTTGGCTTGTCACAGTTCACCAGTTGTTTTCAGTTCTGCCCATGACAGGTCTGTCTCCTGCCCACTGAAAACCACACCTTCTCTTTTTCTGCATTTTGTAAATCCTCTGATACTGGAGCTTTGTTCCTTCTGAACCCCATCTTGAGTTGTTCTGTTACCCCAAAAACTGACACAACCTGGAAGAAAATCAAAATACTTTGGTTGAACTCTACAGGAATTCATAGGTGATGATTAGGAAAGTGAGAGGTAGTTTCCTTGAAGTATCAAAATTTCAGTGAGCATCTTGGAGGCTGTTTGGTGTCCTCTCAACCTTGTCCCTCCCTGGGAAGGGTGAGAGCTGGAGCAGTGCTGGGAGGGGACAGGCTGCCCTCCTTGGATAGGCTCCTGTCACTTATCTTTCCCTTTCCTATCAAAAAAGGGATGTAAGTAAAAATGAAACAGTGTTACAATTCCCATTTTTGCTCTTCACAAACCACCCACTGCTGATGTCCAACAACTCCACCACTCTCTATTTTAGACCCAGCCCGAGGAGGACGACCCGGGGGTGGGTAAAGCTCTGCCTGGGCTTTCTTCCTTTTTTGGCAGTTTTCGTTCCCTGGGAACATTCCAGGGCTGTATAAAAAGTTACTTGGTTGTGTCTATTTCTTCTCCTTCACAAAAGACATTTTTATATTGAAAGAACATAAAAACAGCAGCTCCTCTTGTTACATGTGTGGGTTTTTGTCTTTTCCCGTGCATCACCCAAAACAAGGTCAGCGAGTGACCCCGCCGCCGTTCAGAGCGTTTCATAACTGAGGGGTTTTAGAGCTTCTCTTTCCTCCTGCAGGGCCTTTGCTGCAAAACCCAAAGTCCTGTCACTAATTCCACTCCAGATTACGGAGCTGGGAGCAGTGGGCTGCTCAATAACAAGTGGTTAAGTCACGTGCTGTGTGCGACTGCTCAGCGACTGCTCCTGAGGAGCCCCAGCTCCTGGTGGTGGTGGTGACGTGGGGCCAGACACACTCAGAACATTATTACATTATTCATGCTGCTTTTAATTGCTCCACTCTGCTTTTAACTGGTGCTGGAGGCGGGGAGAGCCCGGGAGCTGCCTGCAACAGGGATGGGTTGGCGTTAACTCGGAGCTGTGGAAAATGGAGTATTATTACTGTCCACGTCTGCTGAAGTTCCTGCAGTATCTGTGGGTAAGTGTGCTCCCAGAGCCGGCTGTTTCCACTCTTTTCAGAAATCCTGGGAGTGCTCCTATGTGCTGGAGCTTTCCTCAGCAGTTCCTTTTTGAGTACTAACATGAAACTCAGGATTTATTTTGGGTGAGAAAGGCTGTTTTATTTCTAATACTCAAAACTGTCTACTACCCGAATGTGCCTTGGAAAACCCTTTCAGGAATCAACATTTCTTCCTTGTTTATGCAGAACCATGGGAGTTGTGGTTTAGTTTAGGTGTGTGTTAGGAATATTCTTCCCTCTTTGTGCAAAAGCTCTGCCTGGCTCTGGGGTTGCTGCCCCAGAACCCTCCTGCCCTGCTGCTGGTACAGGCACTGCTATTCCAGGAAAACAGCTTTAGGAATGTGTCATTTTACAGTTCCTTTCTTGTTTTTCATTTGACTCTTCATGGCTTTCGATGTCTCAGTGAGCACTTCCTCTTCCAACACTCCTCAGAGCTGTCTGTCACGAAAAGCTCTTTTTAGCAGGCTCTGACTGTGGTGCCCTGCCAGCTTTGCACAGGGGCTGCTGTGTGTCTGAAACTTTCACATTT